ATCGGAATACAAGAGTTTTTTCTTTTTGAAATCCGAATAGAAAGGGTACAGGTTGTATTCGAATACAACGTGTTTGTTTTCTATTCAAGGAACTCTGCTATTCGAGGGAAGTGGACCCGCACCGTTTCAATTTCGAAAAAGGACTGCGGCCTCCTCTGCCTCCTACGTGCAGCTAGGACCTCCTACGTGCAGCTACCGGTCCTACGCGCTCCTGGACCAAAACCTGTGCGGTCCCATGGGCAGCTACTGGTCCCGCAGTTTCAAATAAGATGCCACCGCCCCCTAAACTGCCATGCCTTGTTTTTCCAGCCTTCCAACTACCGTTCGTTTGGCGACGAAAAATGTTCTCAGAGGGGGAAAACGCACCCCCTGACGGGCTGCCAACTTCACCTACCAACCCCCATCCTGGCATGTTATTTCGTTATCTATGTGTTATCCTCTGGCATTTATTTCGTTTCTACAGATGTCAGATACCGAGGCGGGCCCAGCGCGAAGCCTTGAAAGCCCCAGCCAGCCCTAAGGGCTGCGCACCGTGCCCTCAGGGTAAGTCGATATATCTCCATGCTCTTGGGGAAGATTCACTCCCGTTTTGCACATTTCGAGGGTAGTGGAGCGAGGCCCTTTTTCCCAATTCGGTAGGTATCCCGGGAACGTTTTTGTGTACATGGGCCTCGCCGCACCACTCACATCGGGAAAAGAACAAAACGTAAACAAAAAAGAAAAAGAAAAAAAAAAAAGAAAAAACGAACAAAACGTATGGCAGTGTATCTTTCCACTTCCTAGGTGAATATGCGTCCACCTATCATTTGACACATTGGTGAGTGGTGCGGCGGGGGCGTCGCCCCACGGCACACGAAACGAAAACGAAACGAGTGCATCTTCTTGCAGAAAATGGCCAGGTTCGTCGGTTGGTTATAAATAGTAACGTGCGTATGTTGCCACCTTTCGTCGGCAGATGCACTCGTTTCGTTTGCCGTGTGGCGAGGCCCTAAGGTAGTGGGGGCGCTTCGAGCTCACCGACTGCTAATGAACAAGTGGGTGCGTGATGTCCTTCGGGACATCCGTTAAAATTGGAACGATACAGAGAAGATTAGCATGGCCCCTGCAAAAAAAAAAAAAAAAAAAAGTGGGTGCGTGATCTCATTCAGCCACGTGAACTTAGGGCCTCGCAACACCACTCTCGAAGTTTGAAAACGACAAAATTGTGGCGAGTAAATCTGGCCATGTTCTAGGGGGAAGTTCATTCACATTTTGCGCATTGCGCATTTCGAGAGTGGTGTGGCAATGCCCTTACCGGCGTCCCTCTCTCTCCTCCATCGTGCCTTCGTGCCCCCAACCACGGTGCTACGCGCCTGTTACTGGTAGTAGTAGTAGTTGCGCCACTCGCAATTCCGCCAACATTTTTCGCAATGCATCTGGCGGCTGGCGAGTAGTGCAACTACCGGTAGGCCGTACCATGCGCTAGAGCTTCGTTGCGCGGCCCTAAGAAGTCCGAACCGTCGCCGGGGGCTAGGTCCCACTTGCACGAATTTTTATGAGGTACTGATCTTAGATAGCAAAGATCAACGGCCGAAATTATCTCCTAATTTGCGCAAGTGGGACGTTGCCCCGGGCGCGATCCGCCTGGAGCGGCCCTCGGAGCCTTTCCCCTCGGAGGAGTCTTTTCCCGCCGGGGCCGCAGGCAGGCGGGCGGGCGGGCGGGCGGGCGCGGGGGGGCACTGGCTTGACCGACAGTGTGACACCAGTCAGACAGATGGAGGTACAACAACCCGGGACGGTGCATGATTTGCTCGCTTGCGCCCCGCCCCACCCCCCCCCACCCC